TTTATGTAATCTGGATAAGTTATGTATGGGAACTTAAATATGCTCATAAATGAATACTTTTGTCACCTATACTGCATGTTGTTATTTATATTTAAAGTAGATACCAAGATTGGATTTTATTATGCCCCGCCCCACAAATGTGGATGGATTATATAGATATACCCTTGTCCGTCCATAAGTATGTACATCCCTATGGGTCTATCCAGTTAAGTTTGCATTTAGCCCCATTTCTCAGTAACTTATAGATATATATCGATGATATTTATTCACCACAGACATCTTGAACACTAGTAGTACAACACATTACTCGAGTCACTTTAACCTACATTTCATGCTTTTGTGTCTGGTTATGTCTTGCTTTTAGGTTCATTTCACAGAAACCTATACTGATATATCACCACTACAGTATTCTTTTATAGAAGCACACAGCTCATCAACAATTTGATTACTGTGACCTACATTTAATTACAGGACATCATGTATCTTATAGACACATTTTCTAGTTAATACAAATCTAAAACACTATTGAAACTGAAATGTTTAATGTATGTAATTTCAAAAGCATAAAACGGATAAATTGACAGATATGAAAAAAGATTAAATGGCTGGTGTATCATGTTCAACTATCTCATGTATTTATTTTTATACATAAATATGAGTACTCCTATCAAATGAAAGAAGAATTTGTCTATCTCAAACTTAGATATAAATGGCTCCTCTAATTATTCACTTTACCACAAACATAAAAGCTGTCCTGTGTGTTATTATTGTCAGCATTATGTCTAAAATTTCAAATATTTATAAAAAGATGGGATATGATTGCCAATGAGACACGGCATGATTGCCACTGAGAAAACTTTCCACCAGAGACCAAAAAATAAGAAGTTATCAACTATAGGCCACCCTATGGCCTTCAAAAATGAGCTAACTCCATACCACAAAGCAAAGAGGGCGGGGGGGGGGGGGGAGGTGGGGGGGGGGGGGCAATACCTTTTTCTGTTAACCTGTTTTGGACTATTTCAAGGTGTTGTTAGCTGTTATTTGAAATATATATATACTTTTAACTGTTTTCAACCCACTTTCTGTTATCTGTTCTGTTTAAATTGACAATGTTGTTAACTGTTTTGTATGAAAATGGGATTCCTGTTATCTGTTACTTGACAGTTAGAGTGTTCACTGTTTCTTTCTTTACGGTGCTCCCTCAAAGGAGTAACATAAACAGCATATATGTAACTGTCTTTGGACAAGGGGACTATATTAAAATGCTCATTAAAAAATCAATATCGTTATCATTTTAAATTTGCTCAATCACAATATTTTTACCACTTTGTAAGTTAGCTGATCATATGAATGTTAAGGTATAAACCGACAAACGTTAGGGGAAAACAGACGAAATCGCGTAATATCCAAACAAAGTACGATACTAATGTCACAGAGTCATATCCAGTAGCAATCATAATGGTCTCGATGGTGTTCACAGATTAAGAGACAAGTCGCAAATAAAATAAAGATTAAGAATAGAGAAGAATGGAGTGTTAAAAAAAGAATAGAGAATAGTGGACAAAAAATATAAAGAATTGAGAAAAAATGTCTTTAAAAATAAATAAAAAAAACCCAGAAATGAAGACCTCCCATCAAAACTTTTAACTATCACGAATGCAAATACAAATGTAAGAAGATACATACCAAGGGTGCAATCGAAATCCGTAGTTCAAATGAAATATAGACAACATTGGATGTTGGATGTGTACTGATTGATATTTTAGTCTTAGATGCATGATTTTTTTCATTAGTTGTTATTGGCTTTGAACTAGCTGTCAGTAACTGCGAGTACTCTCAGATCTGTACTTAGTATCTGTCTGTTGTGTTGATATATGAGTACCCGTCAACGTCCACTCTGTGTTTTTGTTGGATGTATTTCTATTTGTATCCATCTGGTGAGTTCAGCCTTTTTCAACTGATTTTTATAGTTCGTTCTTATGTTGTACTGTTACACCACTGTCCCAGGTTAGGGGAGGGTTGGCGCCTTCTAACAAGTCTAACCCCACCACATTCTGTATGTGCCTGTCCCAAGTCAGGAGCCTTACATTCGGCGGTTATTTTTTGTTGTTGTGTAACATATTTGTTTTTCGTTAATTATTTTATATGGGCTCTGCTCATTGTTGAAGGCTGTACGGTGACCTATAGTTGTTAATTTCGGTGTCAATTGGTCTCTTGTGGAGAGTTGTTTCATTGGCAATCAAACCACTTCTTATTTTTATGAACACCATGACAAAATGGAAGCAACAGTAGTTCTCCAATGTTCAAATAAAAAATAAAAAAAATAAAAAGTACCAATGAAGAAAAAAATTTAAGGAATAGCAGGATCTTCAGAAGGAGCGAAACCGGACGCATTGCCAGAGTAAGCGTCCCGCCATCTGGGACAAAATGTGCTAATTCGCCAAAAAAAAAAGACCAACAAAAAAATTAAATATTGACAAAACCGACCCAAACCATGGAGGACTCAGGTGCTCTGGAAGAGTAAGCAGTGTTTGTTTTACTACTGAAACCTGTGGTTTTCATAAAAAATTCCCTAAGTCACAATTTAAGTTGGTGTTAACCGTTATCAGTATTTTATATTTGTTGTTAACTGTTTTTGCCAAAGTCGAGGTGTTGTTAACAAACCCCCTATTACCCCCCATCCCCCCAGCAAGCTATTAAACAAAATGACAAATGTAAAGCAATTCAAAAAGAAAACTAACAGCCTGCTTTATGTACAAAGCACAAAAAAAATAAAATTATGACAACAGCAAATGACAACCACTGAATTACCCCCAGGCAGTGACTACATATTAATCTAAACCTTTAACTTTTCACAAAAACCAAGAAAGTGTAATATAAGTCATGAGGTTTGCAGAGAATCATCATTCCAAATGCCATTATGCACCTATTTTATTTTTTGATGGAATTGACATTAGATCTAATGAGGAGCATTTTCCCCAGTAGGTCATAATCTATAAAAGTTTGGTACTTTTCCTTCTAAATATTTGGTATTTAAAATTATCTAGATTGTTCCCTACAATCCAAGTTTGAGTATTTTAACAACGGTGACTTTGACAATTGAATTATATATTCATTAAGTTCCACTGTATATCTGTAAACTTTGATTTACTTATTAAATGATCTCATAAAAAGCTACAAAATTTATGAATTAATATTGATTTATGAATGCCATGACCTTGACCTGTAGCCTTACGATTTGACCATATGACCTAAAATTCAACGTGGGCCTGCATATCACTACGGGGCATTGTAAACCAAAATAAGTTTTCATTTCATCTAGTTTTGGCAAAAAAAAGGGAGAAAAAGTTGAATTTTATCAAAAATAACCATTTTTTTTGTTGCCATGGTTTCACCCTTTTAGTGATTTATCTCTCTCAAAAGATCGGTGACCCCATATTTTTTTTCCTTTTTCTGAACTTAACTTATAATTCTCTTAGAATAGAGAGTTTAATGGAAATCTGTAATTTAGTTCTCTTAATTTTTTTTTGATGAAGGTAATGGAGGTGATATTTTCCCTATTAGAAATTTCCCGCCAATATGGATAGTTAATTAAGAATGTGAAATATCTTTCTTAAACCAACGGTGACCTATATGTTTTTTTAGCTGAACATGTAAAACTATACTTTTGCTTGTTGTAAAACAAATTTAAACAAAATCTTATATAAATTGTATTCGTTATTAAAATCTAAGTATGTCAACACACAATTTTCCCTATTATTCCTTTGTAAAACGCCAAAAAAAGCCTCCTTATTTCGGTGGCCTATAAAACGCTAAAATGAACGGTGACCCTCTAATTTTATTTCATTATTTTGATCCACTCACTTTAAGGAATAAAATATCAAGTATTCAGGAATTTCTTATATAAAGTGTTTATAGCCTCGAGCCTCCATAAGATTTAAATTGTACACATAATATCATGAAGTGTTCTAAGGAATGAGAAGCACGTTCTATTTAATAATTTGAAACGACAAAGTGTATACAGAGTTGTTTACTGATAAACTATGCCGTAGTTGTCAGGTCAGTGGCGGATTCAAGGGGGACGTCGAAGAGGTTGTACACCCCCTTTGATTGGAAAATATATAGTGTTTAATTAATCCTAAAATCGTCAAACTTTTTTCATTGGAATATGCCTTTGAAAAATCCTGGATCCGCCCCTAAAGATAAGAGTACATTTGAACTGTACACATTTGACTTAGTCAATGCACACCTTAGCTGTGCATTATCCAGATAATAGCACAGTAAGAACAAAGAGATTTTGCCTATGTCATGTGTTAAAGCAATTCAATTGTAAGTTGTTTTCTTTTATCTAAATGAAGAACGTTGTGTGGTTTGTCATATTATTACGACTGTTTTTACTAATAATGAAACTAAAGAGCAATCGTCACATATTATATTTCAAATTTCTATTGTTTAAGTTTCTGTCTAGTGACAAAAAAAAAAGTGTTTTATTTATATAATCTTCACAAAATATAGCAATTTTGCGAAGCATGTAAAATACCCCTTGACCATACTTTTAAAGAAAAAAAACATAATAAAAAGTACATTTTGGCAAATCATTAGAAAATTCTATCGTTTTAAACTAAAACCATATCCACCTTATCAGAAATATGACAATATTTTTCTTTTCATTATTTCAAGGCCATCACTGATTTTTAAAGAGAGAGGATGTAGTTTTCCAAAAAAAAAAATCCGTCATTAACTTGTTGGGGAAAACAAATTTGAAATTCAATTTGAAAGGAGCTGACATACAAATTTATGTGATTTGATATATTTCTTATATAATTTACGTAAGTTCTGGGTTTGAATGTCAGCCAACCAACATTGGCTTCAGTAGTTTTAATTCGGCTGATAAAGGATTAAATTATTATTATAATTATTATTATTTTTATTTAGTAGTAGTAGTAGTAGTAGTAGCAGTAGTAGTAGTAGTATCGTCTTTTACTTTTAAAATTACTTACTTATTTCCTCAACTTTTATACTCATCGTAATTAAAATATCATTAACTTTTCCACTCTCCGTACTAGAAATATCTGTTTTATTTATGTAGGATCTACTAATTCTTTTCTTCGTACTCAAAAGGGTTTTTCGAAATTGCCATGATTTTCGGAAAATATAATATCTGAAATACAAAAAAGGTCGTTTAAACATGAACAAACTTATTTGTACTATATATATATATATATAGATTGCCTAACAATGTAATTTTAACACACTATTTAGTATGTAAATATAAGAATGTTTAAAATATTTACAAAATGATGAAAATAAACGCAATATTTCGCTAGACTAACTAGCTTTATCAAGCGTGCATCTATCCAGGTGAAATCGGATGTAGATGATAAGAAACTTTTGCAGCTCAATGTATATGTTGCACTTGAATTTAGCTGCCTTGAAAATAATACATAACTTGGATGAAGTTCAAGATTTTTACAAAATTGGTAGTTGAAGTTAGCAACGTCCATTGGCCAATATTACAGGATAAAAAGGACGATGCTGTGTACTAAATTATTCTTTATCTTTCCTGTATCTTTTCTCATCTTTTTCGTTAAGACCATCAGGTTCTAAAGTGTGGAGTTGGTGGATCCAAAAATTTTCTCTTCTCCTTCTCGCCGTGGTGTCCCACTCGGTGTTGACTTCTATGATTTGGAAGGTAACATTATCAAAAGAATGTTTCGTTGAACGAAGATGTCTTGTGAGAGGACAGTTTTTGTTGGTTTTGTACCATGAACGATGGTTATTGAGCCGAATATTAAATTTGTCCATTGTTTCTCCCACATACTGAATGCCACATGTGTCACATGTTAATATATAAATTGAGTTCTCCGTTTTACAGTTGGAATTTGAGTAGATGGTATAATTTTGTTTAGTAACGGAGCTGATGAAAGAACTGCTTGTATTAGCAGCTTTACAACACAAGCAGTTCCTTCGACCACATTGTTTGTAGCAACCGGGAGATGGAGTAGGCTGCTTTGCTAATACAGATGTCACTAATTTGTCACGGATGTTTTTAGGTCTTCTGAAGGCCATGACTGGTGGTGAGGAAAATACTTTTTTAAGATTTGAATCATTTTCTATAATTTTCCAATGCTTCTGAACAATGGAAGACACATTTTTAAAATCAGGATGGTAAGTGAGTACAAGGGGTGTTCTGTTAGCTGCTTTATTCTTATCTTTGTACTCTAGAAGTTCTTGGCGACTAGTTTTGTTTGCTCTTTCGAAAGCGCTATCAATGATGTTGTTATTGTATCCTCGAACAACTAGATGTTTACGTAGTTGTCCAAGTCTAGCATTTTGCGTATTTTCAGTAGAGCATATTCTCTTGATTCGCAATGCCTGGCTGAATGGGATGCCACGGGAGCAGTGTTTAGGATGGCAACTTTTAGGAGAAAGGAATTGATGTTTGTCCGTTTGTTTGGTATGAAGGTCCGTTATAATGGTTCCGTTCTTGATGTAACTCGTAGTGTCGAGGAAGTTTATTTTCTCCATAGATGATTCATATGTAAATTTTATTGAATGGTGGAAAGAGTTACAGTGTCCTAGAAATTCATTAAGATGTTCTTGTGAATCTGTCCATTTGAAATCAATATCGTCAATGAATCGGAACCATGATAAGGGCTGGTATGGAGCACTAGCCAAGAGGCGTTTTTCAAGTTGGCCCATAAATATGTTGGCATATGACGGGGCCATTTTTGTGCCCATACTAGTACCGTCTATCTGGAGATAATGTTTTTCATTGAAAGAAAAGTTGTTGTTCTCTAGCACTAGTTTCAGAAGTGTAACAAGGCACTCAGTTGGAGGATTTTTTTCACTACGAGTGTTCCATACCTCTTCACACGCTGCTATTCCTTCGTCTTGTGGAATGTTGGTATATAAAGAAGACACGTCCATGGATGCAAGTATAGTATTGCTTGGTAGAGGATTGAGGCTTTCCATTTTCTTTAGATAATCAGTCGTATCTTGGATGTAAGAGGGTAGTTCTTTCACATGATATCTTAGATGATGGTCTAAAAATTCTGATATCTTTTCAGTTGGATGACTATTTGCTGAAACAATTGGTCGACCTGGATTGCCCGTTTTATGTATTTTAGGCAACATATAGAATCGCCCGGCCTTTGCTTCGTTCTCAAGAGGTCGGAGATAATCAAAGGTGTCATTGTCTATATGCTTTTTGTCGAACATCTCTTGAAGGATGGTGTTGATCCTTCGAATATTATTTAGTGTTGGATCTGTGGTTAATTGTTTATAAAAAATGGAGTTTGAAAGTTGGCGATTTCCCTCTGCTATGTAATCTGTTTTATTCATGACAACCACAGCGCCCCCTTTGTCGGCAGGTTTTATTACGATATCCTCTTGATCTTTTAACGCTTTCAAAGCAATGCTTTCTGACTTGGATAAATTATAATTTCTTGTATTTGTTATACAGGACTTTATATCAGACCTCACGTAGTTAATGAATGACTCCAAGTTATCATTTTTACTCTTAGGTGGTTTCCATGAACTTTTTTTCTTAAATTTTGGGATGGGCGTGACTTCTTCATTGGTGTCAGTATCTGAATCTGTTAATCCACAGCTTCTTCAAGGTGGCTTCTTCATATATGCCAACATATTTATGGGCCAACTTGAAAAACGCCTCTTGGCTAGTGCTCCATACCAGCCCTTATCATGGTTCCGATTCATTGACGATATTGATTTCAAATGGACAGATTCACAAGAACATCTTAATGAATTTCTAGGACACTGTAACTCTTTCCACCATTCAATAAAATTTACATATGAATCATCTATGGAGAAAATAAACTTCCTCGACACTACGAGTTACATCAAGAACGGAACCATTATAACGGACCTTCATACCAAACAAACGGACAAACATCAATTCCTTTCTCCTAAAAGTTGCCATCCTAAACACTGCTCCCGTGGCATCCCATTCAGCCAGGCATTGCGAATCAAGAGAATATGCTCTACTGAAAATACGCAAAATGCTAGACTTGGACAACTACGTAAACATCTAGTTGTTCGAGGATACAATAACAACATCATTGATAGCGTTTTCGAAAGAGCAAACAAAACTAGTCGCCAAGAACTTCTAGAGTACAAAGATAAGAATAAAGCAGCTAACAGAACACCCCTTGTACTCACTTACCATCCTGATTTTAAAAATGTGTCTTCCATTGTTCAGAAGCATTGGAAAATTATAGAAAATGATTCAAATCTTAAAAAAGTATTTTCCTCACCACCAGTCATGGCCTTCAGAAGACCTAAAAACATCCGTGACAAATTAGTGACATCTGTATTAGCAAAGCAGCCTACTCCATCTCCCGGTTGCTACAAACAATGTGGTCGAAGGAACTGCTTGTGTTGTAAAGCTGCTAATACAAGCAGTTCTTTCATCAGCTCCGTTACTAAACAAAATTATACCATCTACTCAAATTCCAACTGTAAAACGGAGAACTCAATTTATATATTAACATTTGACACATGTGGCATTCAGTATGTGGGAGAAACAATGGACAAATTTAATATTCGGCTCAATAACCATCGTTCATGGTACAAAACCAACAAAAACTGTTCTCTCACAAGACATCTTCGTTCAACGAAACATTCTTTTGATAATGTTACCTTCCAAATCATAGAAGTCAACACCGAGTGGGACACCACGGCGAGAAGGAGAAGAGAAAATTTTTGGATCCACCAACTCCACACTTTAGAACCTGATGGTCTTAACGAAAAAGATGAGAAAAGATACAGGAAAGATAAAGAATAATTTAATACACAGCATCGTCCTTTTTATCCTGTAATATTGGCCAATGGACGTTGCTAACTTCAACTATCAATTTTGTAAAAATCTTGAACTTCATCCAAATTATGTATTATTTTCAAGGCAGCTAAATTCAAGTGCAACATATACATTGAGCTGCAAAAGTTTCTTATCATCTACATCCGATTTCACCTGGATAGATGCACGCTTGATAAAGCTAGTTAGTCTAGCGAAATATTGCGTTTATTTTCATCATTTTGTAAATATTTTAAACATTCTTATATTTACATACTAAATAGTGTGTTAAAATTACATTGTTAGGCAATCTATAATTTTATTTGTGTAATTGAATTAATCTCTGTACTGATTAATCCACACTCCCATAGATTTGTATGTCATGTGCTGCTATTTATAGGCACTTATATATATATATATATATATATATATATATATATATACAAGGCTAAATTGAAAACAACGTTCAAACCTATGATTGCGTTGGATAAAAACCGCAATTTTTATACCTGTGCATGTAAAACAAATTTCTTGGTAGTGGGGTCTAAATACAGCACAAACAACATTTTCCAAAAGACCAAAAAAGTGAAAAAGTATATTTTAACAAAACGCATTTGACTAGCAGGTCGAACAACGGATGTTCTTAAAACCTGCTGACTGCCATTGGCGATTGCCAAATAAACGAATCACCAGATGTAACAAAATGGATCTTAACTATTAATTTAAGACCAAACAGAAAACAATAAACTTGCAGGTATATCGCAAACAAAAGGTGCAAAATTAGTACACCATATCCGGATTTCGACAATCAATGTCTCTTCGGTGATGTTAGGAATCGAAACGGTATTTGGAAGACCATATAATTTATCTCAATTTAGGATAGACTCTTGAAATTTGAAGAGTCGAAATAGGATGAACGGATCATATAAACCCGAAGGCAAATATAATACAAGGCCAAACGAAAAAATATAAACAAATCTAAATTGAAAACAACGTTCAAACCTATGATTGCGTTGGATAAAAACCGCAATTTTTATACGTGTGCATGCAAAACAAAAACAAATTTCTTGGTAGTGGGGTCTAAATACAGCACAAACAACATTTTCCAAAAGACCAAAAAAGTAAAAAAGTATATTTTAACAAAACGCATTTGACTAGCAGGTCGAACAACGGATGTTCTTAAAACCTGCTGACTGCCATTGGCGATTGCCAAATAAACGGATCACCAGATGTAACAAAATGGATCTTAACTATTAATTTAATAATTGATAACTATTAATTTAATATATATATATTGTACCACATGCTGTTATTTACAAGTGAAAATAATTAAAATGATTAGTTAT